CCGATTCTACATCGCTGCCTGTTTAGCACCGCCCACCGATTCTACATCGCTGCCTGTTTAGCCCCGCCCACCGATTCTACATCACTGCCTGTTTAGCCCCACTCACCGATTCTACATCCCTGCCTGTTTAGCCCTGCCCACTGATTCTACATCGCTGCTTGTTTAGCCCCGCTCTCCGATTCATGCATATGTAGTGTTTACGAGAGAGGCGAATGCAGGTCTTTGCAGAAACCAAACGATAAAGATGCTCCGAAGACAACAAGATGCTGTTCAGTGCCAAGTTGTGGTCTTTGCATTGCCTGCCTTCCTTATCCCAACATGAGAAAAGAGTGGATAAACTTTATTTTTAATGAAGATCCAGACCGCATCAGTAAGAACTCGGTCCTTTGTTCACTTCCTTGTACTGCGGATTCATTTACAAACAAGGCACAATTTGACTCAGGATTTTCAGAAAAATTCAAACTAAAAGACGATGCTGTGCCGAATATATTGGATCCGACAGTAATGTCGCAAGACACAAGTGTGAGTAACTTTTTATTGTGGTCACTATTGCTTTGTCTGTTATTACAGATTGTTTGATATGTACTGAGTGTTTATGCGTTTTTAACCTAAATCACAGCAGCGTCCATCGGTGAAGGATGTAGGCTGTCAAACATATACAGCTATTAGCCAATCATAGCAGTGTGCTTTTACTTCCGAGTCTACAATCCTCTACACCTATTCATACAGAGCTTCAGATGAGGGGGTTAAAAACAGGACAGAAAATAGCCTTTTACTTCTAAATTATGATGTTTTGTATGTAAAAAATATTGATAAGATTATAAGGGGACCTCAGAGAACAGTACAAAAAAACAAAAAAAACAAAGGCAGTTCATGACCCCTTTAAAAGCATCTGCATAAGCTCTACCCATGCAGTGAGCACAAGCTTCTAAAAAAATTTTTTTTTTTAAAGATGTCAGGGTTGATTTTGAGCTATAGCATTATGGACAGCACTCCAGGTGATTCGAGTTCAAGCCCCAGCATGTGTTCCTTTCATTTACATTCTTTGGGAATCAAACCCATGACCCTGGCATGCTAGTGCCATACTCTACTGTTCAAGCTACAGGAATGCTTTCCTGATCCCTGTCTCTCCCTGACTGTCTTCTCAAATAAAGACAAAAAAAAACAGTTTTCAATCATGTAGTAACCTACACTTAATTGTTTGCAACCAAATTGCAACATTACGATATGTACACTAGCTGGATACTGACTCTTTTTACGTGTTGTTGTCATAGGTGTGTTGCTGGCCTGTTTCTTGTTGTTCACCACACAGATGACAGCAGACCAAGCCATTCTGTTAGTTCGAAGCAAACGATCAAACTCGATCCAGACTAGAGGACAGCTCCAGTGCGTCAGGCAGTTTGCTCAGTTCCTGGTTCCGCTAAGGAACGTGTTTGCTAACGCCGAGCCTAGAGCGCCGCCTGTTACTCTTTCACAATACTTGATCCGCCAGAAACATATACTGCACGGATACGAGGCTCGGAAGTTGAGATACGTGCCAAAGCTCGTCCCTCTCATCTGCAGACTCCTACTGGACATCGCAGAGAATCACCAGGTTATCAAGGAGGACGTTGTTGAGGTTCCTGACGTCACATCTGTGGTAGAGAAAACATTTAATGAGAGTTCAGTGTATCAGTTAAACGGAGAGATTTTGGGAAATGGGATGTCTATGATCAGACCACGTCTTCCAGGTCTACCCCGAGCCAATAGAGGCAACACACAACCTCTTTACTATGTCCGCAAGAGCCTCAGCTACAGCGAGTCTGACCTCCAGAGGTTAGCAGCATCTTTAAACCTCTCGGACAACCCTCTCGGGGTTTTAGCCAGCATCCACTCAACTACCATCAACGATCAGTTGGGAGCTTTCAGCTGTGTTTCCCAGAACTACATCACTCCTTCTCTGGGGGCTTGCAAGCACAATCCCATCTACAGCTCAACCAGCAATATATGGGAGCTGAAAACTCTTATGGACCAGACAGAAGGATCTCCACTGCTCAAAACCAGGAGGCAGTCGGTCCTGCAGCGAAGTCAATCTCTAGACGTTTCAGATAAGAAAAGCACCACGAGCATCACCAGAATATTGTCCTACTGGAGGACAGACTGCAAGCAAAGTACTGACCCTGATGAGGCTCAACACAATGAAAAAGAGCATTCGGAGGTGCCCTTCATCACTGTCCAGTCCGAGTTGTCTCTGGAGTCGCGTCACCTCCTGGTGGCTCAGTCCCTTGCGGTAGACCTCGAGAAGGATGGAGAGAAGGAGCAAATTCAGAAGGTGTCTACTTGGCAGGTAGGTGCATGTACTGATTTACTAAGTATTAAGTATTAAATGTGTATTAAAGTATTAAATCGAGTGTTTATTCTTATATCCGTCTTTGGTTTTGGTATATTCCTTTGATGTTTGTTCATTTTTCTGTGCTTCATGTCTACTGTCATTTTTCAATTTGTCACATTCTCAATTAAAAAAAAAAAGTATCAAAGTATTTTTATTAAAACATTCCAGGATTTTTCTCCATATAGTGGACTTCAATGGTGGTCAATGAATTGAAAGTCCAAACTGCAGTTTCAGTGCAGCTTCAAAGAGCTCTTCACAATCCCAGCCGAGGAATAAGAGTCTTATCTAGCGACTCGATCAGTCATTTTCTAAAAAAACAAAAACATTTATATACTTTTAACCACAAATGCTCGTCTTACACTTGCTTGACCTCACGCATTGCGTAAAGTCACGTTGGAGAGGTCACGTGTGATGTAGGCAGAAATACCAACCCAGTGTTTACAAAGCGAACGTGCAAAGACTAAACCAAACGCCCTTCACAAAAAAAAAAAAGGTAAAACGACGACGATTGTAAAGTAAGAGGAGAAAATCAGATGGAGTTCGGAATTACATCTGCCTACGTCATGCGAGACCTTTCCAGCGTGATTAAGTAATGCAAAGTCATCGATGAGCATTGCAGCGCTACTGCAAGATGAGCATTTGTGGTTAAATAGTATATACATTTCTTTTTTTAGAAAATGGCCGTTTGGCTAGATGAGACCCTTATTCCTCAGCTGGTATCGTGTAGAGCCCTTTGAAGCTGCATTGAAACCTTGATTTCTTAAAAAAAATAAAAAATAAAAATAAAAAAACCTTCAAAAAAATTTATTAATCTTTTCGACTGAAGAAAGAAAGACATGAACATCGTGGATGACATGAGGGTGAGTAAATTATCAGGAAATTTTTATTCTGGAAGTAACTAATCCTTTAAAGTTAAAGTAGGGATTGGCAGCTCTGGTCCTGGAGGGCCACAGTCCTGCAGGGTTTACTTCAATCCCTAAGAGTGGTGTGACGTGTAGCCAAGTATGGTAACCCATACTTAGAATTTGTGCTCTGCATTTATCCCATCCAAGTGCACACACACCACGCCATTTTTGCCACCTACTGGAGGTTAGGTGTACCAAGGGGCACCTAATGGCTCACTTTTTGGGGTTTTTCCACTGCATACAGTAGCTTGTACCTGGTACTTTTTTTAGTAACTTGTACTTAGAAGTTCCAAGTGAGCCGGACTGATGCTAAAATGTGACTTGTAAACTCTGCAGATCACTGATTGGTCAGAGAGAATCGTCACTGCCAGCGTCATTGGATTTGTGACACGAGACACCAAACCCGCTAGATTTAAATAGTCAGCAACAGCCACTGCAGTATCATTTGTTTGCACGTCTTTTTTAAACGACTTGCTTTAACCAACCACTGCACACAACTTGAAAAATGAATTGGCTTTATCGTGGTCAGTAAATCAGGTGGCAGCACAACTATAACGATCAGTCTATAATCCCACCCATTGACTGATGCTAAAATGTGACTTGTAAACTCTGCAGATCACTGATTGGTCAGAGAGAATCGTCACTGCCAGCGTCATTGGATTTGCGACACGAGACACCAAACCCGCTAGATTTAAATAGTCAGCAACAGCCACTGCAGTATCATTTGTTTGCACGTCTTTTTTAAACGACTTGCTTTAACCAACCACTGCACACAACTTGAAAAATGAATTGGCTTTATCGTGGTCAGTAAATCAGGTGGCAGCACAACTATAACGATCAGTCTATAATCCCACCCATTTTGAAACGGTACTAAACTGCAGTGGAAAAGCAAACCAAGCCAAAGTAAAGCGAGTCGAGCGCCATTAGTCATGGGTTTGAGGGTGGAAGAGGGCAATGTTCATTCACTCCTTCCACCTACAGTTCCTGTCGGTACTGAGAATCGAACCCATTAATCAAACACATCTGAAAAGTCCAACCGAACTGCTTGGAAATAACAGGCAGGTATGTTTGATTAGGGACAGAACTAAACACTACAGGACAGTGTTCCTCCAGGACCGAAGTTGTCCATCCCTGGTCTTGGGTGTGTCTTTAGGAGCTTCAGATCTCCCACACCTCCAGACATGAGTGTCCATCGTTGTTGCATTGTTTTTGGGATACCTGCTCCATTTTAGAGGGAACTGCTCCACAATTTACTTCACAGAGACACTTTACACTAAGTGCAAGTAGGCTATTTACATTAACTCCACCCATCAACGTGTGATTGGGGCTCGTCAGCCATACAATAAAACGATCGCTCTCACATCAGCTCCAGTGGTGTAGATAGTTAAACGTGTGTCGTAGTCATTTTTGACGCGATCGACACGGGTACGAATCCGCTTTTCCCGTCCCTTTTCAAATCTCATCACATCGGAATGGCATTTATTTTTTTAAGTATCAGGTAGGGTAGGTGTAGGGAGGGCTTATATTGTCCCAATAAGGTGGCATCCATTTAATAATTTTAATTAAAATTATAATTTACACTCAATACCTTATTATTGCATACTGTTTTATAATGTACTACAATACTGAGGTGCAGATATAATTGCCACTATCTGCAATAAGTAGCAGAAAATGCTGCTATTTTAACTGTGTAAAATGAATCTATAGCTATTTGCACTGTGTAAATAGCATCTTTCAAAAAAAGAAAATATAATATTTTCACTTAGTGTAATCTAGTAGTACTCTATTGCTACTTACACTTTACTTTATATTCCATCCAAGTCCGCAGTTTTCCCACGGAATTGACACTTTTTAACACTTTTAACACTGTTGCCGCGTGTTGTTTTTCATGTCCGCGGGTTGAACCGACCCCAAATACGTTATATTTAGCCCCTGCAATGCAAATTTTACTAGGGGAACTTTGGTAAAAATCGCATTCTGGGGGGTTAAATACACGTTTTTGGCAGAGGTCCCCCCTCGAAACACCAATGGGCTAATTTTGGACTAGTTTTGAGTAGCAGTTGGGCGGGTTTTGTTGTGAAAACCTGGCAACCCTGATCCCGTCAGATTTGGAGTGTCGATCTTGGGGTCTTCGTGACCTGAATCTAGGTTTTGGCGTATGGTCTCAGATAAGACTGCAGCCTATTTCCACTGTTCTTCAGGAGATGAAGTTGCCACCGTCCCTTCACCATTTTAGAGAGCTGGCATGACTGAATGGCTTCTTAGTTCTGAGTTAGGTTCAAATAAAAGTTCAGGAGGAACATGTTTATTTAATATGACCAATCAGCACTTGAAGAGGCGTATGTAAGCCACTATTTATCTCTGTCCTATACGACAGTTCTTTTGGCGTCCCTCCGCCGTTTTGGCATCAAACCTCCTCTTCATTAAAGATTACATTTATATTTAGCAGACATTTTTGTCCAAAGTGACTTACAAATGTGGACAATGGAAGCAATGAAAATCAAAAAAAGTACAATAATATGCACTATCAATTCAGCATTTTCTGTGTTAATATAATGCTTAATATAGTTGGTGATCCAACAGGTCAGGGGTTTATGTGGTCTCCTTTTGGCATCTCTGCATCCCAGTCCTTTCAATGATTTTAGCATGTAAAGTTGTAGTCTGCTTACTGAAGACAGGCAGCTCTGCATGATGGACCTAGTTGTTGTCTACTCGGGCTAAACGACAATCTCTTCACATCATATAGAAAATCTGACCTAAGATTAGTACATTTGTTTATTCTTCTCCGCAGGCAGATCTTAATCGTCAAGGTGCGTGGGAGCGACTGTGTTTGGAAAAAGACCCATTTATTCTCTCTGGAATCATGTGGTCCTGGCTGGAGCAGCTCAAAGAGCCAATCATCTCAGCTCATGATGTTCACACACTAACAGAGACCAGTCAGGACCCCCAAACTGTGCTCAATTGCCTAGATAGGGTAAGACTTAAAGGGTTAGTTCACCCAAAAATGATGGGTAAATGTTTTACTTACCCTCGAGTCATCCTAGGTGCATATGTCAGATGAATCCAGTCGGAGTTATATTAAAAATTGTCCTGGCTATTCCATGCTCTATCATTGCAGTCAGCCGGTGTTGCAGTTGTTGCCTTCCACGTATGAAAGACAACTGAAGTGAGAGAAAAGTGTTTATTATGTTTGAAATATGGATATTTTTCTTACAAAAACGCATGGATTCACTACAGTAGGCCTCTATTCATGCCCCGAAGCTGTGTGAGGCACGTTTATTATGGATGCACGCGCTTTATTTGACGACTTGTGGACCGTTCAACTGCAACACCCGCTGACTGCAATGATAGAGCTTGGAATAGCCAGGACAATTTTTAATATAACTCTGACTGGATTCGTCTGACAGAAGAAAGCCATATACACCTAGGATGCTTCGAGGGTGAGTAAAACACAGCCTAATTTTCAATTTTGGGTGAACTAACCCTTTAAGTATCAAATCTGTTCTTTTAAACTTTATTAACTTTAGATAACTTGGTTCAATATTACTAACAAGAGACATTTCATGAGTACATTTGAACTTTGTTCCATGATGTGAATCTGTTATTATTACCATCGTCAGGCTTCAAGAGAAACAGTGATGTGCATTCTGGACTGTTTCGCTCATTTATTGATGACAACGGAGGAAATCGAGAGTGCTTTTCTGGAGCGAGCGACAAAAGCTTTCACAAAGGTACCGTGTCATTCTGAGATGTACTGAAATGGTTAAATGAATACTTTTATTTACCGTGGTGCTCTCTTTAGATAAAAAACACAGATGGTGGGAAGAGCGTCCACAAAATCATGAACGGGGTCTTGAAGCTTGTTCTGCATCGTTTGAGGTTGGCTGCCATGAACGAGTTTGAGGTCTAACACATGCAACAATCACTAAACTACAGTTAACTACAAAGAGAATGAGTTCATTTACTGTACATCTTTGTCCGACATCAAAGACGAGCTCTACACATCTGCTGCTGCAGTTTCTTTGGTTGTTCCTCCGGTCTCGGTTCAGATGAGGAATCCAGCATGTGATTTAGCCCACAGATAGACTGAACTATAATTGTCCCATTTTTAGAAGTTAGAAAATGTTTTACATGGTGAATTGTTTGATGTAAATGAAATACCATACACTGTATATTATGTGCCATAGTGCTAATACTTGAAAAGCATTGCAACTGAAACCATTTTTGTACCATGTTTGTACAGTTATTTGTAATAAAATAAATAGATTGCACACAACTAGAAATTAAATCTTCATCTTCATTTTACATTAGCATAAAGATCTGAAGGCTGAAGCCCCGTTCACACTATAAGCGACACGCAACAGCAAAGCGACACAATCCCATTCATTTCAATGTAGAGTTCAATGACCGCAGCCGTTGGCGACCGGATGGGGCGTGTCCAGCGACTTGACAAAGTTCAGAATCCTTCAACTTTATGCCAATGAAGAGCGACTTTCGGGAAATAGAAGACGGTAGAGCTCAAGTGATCGTTCTCTTCTCAGCGACGTAGATAAACAATAACTAATATGGAAGAAAGTAGGCTCTGTTTCTCATTCATTTTTGTTTGTATGTACAGATTTAGATTATATTTAGTCTTTTGCCTCCAAAATGTTTGTATTTAGCGGCAAGAAACCTGATTCGCTGTCACGGCAACCAGTATTGAGAACGCCCACTAGCAGCCTCATCGCCAGCCCCTGGCGACTTGCAGCGACAAAAGTCTGCTAGTGTGAACGGGGCTTAACTGACTCCGAAACGATTCGCTCAACGATTCATTTTTCCAAACCACTCCTTTGCGTGATGCTAATCTGCTGTGATTGGTCGATTGGTCTCATTTTCATTTCAGCATGCCTGTAATGCCTGATAAAGCAGTGTTTGTGAGCGCAGTGCTGCTTTGTGTACAGCGTTACCGGGGAAACCGCTATTTTATAGCTCCAAAAGCGGCACCTAGTGGCAAAGAATGAATTAGCATTTTCATTTTCATTTCCAACCCGAAAATACCAACAAGTGGGCGGGCAATATGCTAATATTTCATGTTGACGTCAACACGACACGGCTTGGGATTCGTTTTAAAAACGACTCATTTTAATGATTCAGAGTCGACTCTTTACTATATAATAGACAATAACTATATGCACGGTGCACTTCCAGATTTAAAACTTTGCAGGATGTTTTCATTCACTTGGAGCTGTGTTACACTGCATGAAAGACATTTTTCAAAAATCCATAATGGGGCACTTTAATGCATTTCTTCTCAGTTAAAATGTCATTAAACTACTTTTATCAGAAGAAAATCAGATAGTATGCCGGTATGGACACTACAACACCATAAACGATCTAAAATGTAAACATGCATAATTAAGCACATAATGCAGATTATATTATTATAATATACCATATGGGTGTTTTTGTGCATGCCTTCAGAAAGTATTCAGACCAGTGTTATTTTAGTATCATTGATATACTATTATAGTTTTTGTTAATATTTCTTAATTTTGTTTTGATGTTTTGTTGTTCATTTTAGTTCAAATTGTAGTATGTTGTTCTATTTATTTTTAAGTAGGTATAGGCCTATAATACGTTTAAGTTTTTAGATTTGGTTTCTTTTTAGTTATTTTAACATAAAGTGAATGAAAGTGTTGCCTCGGGAACTAGCTGAAGTAAAATGAGTTTAAGCGTTTTAATATTTTATTTCAGTTATTGTTTATTTTGCCAGTAATGTTTTCATGGTTTTAGTTTGAATGAACAAGCCCCTCATTCAGACCATCATTTTTCACATCATTCCACATTCCACAGCAAAAACATTTTACATTTCTAAAAAACCTGAATAAAGTGGTACTTTCTGAAAGAACAGCACATATTTTGTCAAGGATAACTTTATATAAAATACACAGCTTTCTATTCCAGACAGACATCACCACACTATACTGCAGTGACCTTCAAGTTAGTGGTGCGGTTGAATGGAGTGGCGTACAGTCATGAAAAGGCATCTGGTCTTGAACTGATGCCACACAGGAAAGACACTCGACTGAAGCTGAGCTGAGGAGAACTACTGTTATTTTAGGTGACAACATGCACTCACTATTTTTGAGGGGGCACGAGTTGGGGGAGGGAGGGGGGTGTTTGCTGGGTCGTCACACACAGCAGCCACAACAGCACTTATTTTTATTTATTTTTTCCTTTTTATTCGGAACATTCCCAAACGCAACTATATCATGAAATATCTTGATTCTCACCTTTATAGATTATGTTGTGGGCGATGGTCAAAGTAACCTAATAATGTAATGCATAAAAACCTGTCTGTTTACTTCATTAACCGATATGGATGTCATGTCATAACATTTTTAATACGACTTGAGTTTATATCTAATGTGAATTTAACATTGAAAGTTAATGTGAATAAAAACATTGTAAGTTAGGCTACTAATCATAACACTTAGGCTATAGAAAGAGAGCAAAAAACATTTACATTATCAAAGAACATTTTCACTGACAGTCTAGAGTTCAAGCACTCTCAAAAACTCCCATTAAAATCACTGAAGCTGTTTACACTGTGAAATTAAACACATCTGCACTTTGTTGTTTCTGATGAGAGAATTCGCGAGAGAGGTATTCGGGTGAGCGAGCGAGTGAAGCAAACAATGACTCTTCTGAACGCCTCTGATTGGTCACTGCATTCATCAGCTCAGCAGCATGGTGTGTGATTGGTTATAATGCGTCTGTCTGCCTCGGGCAGGTTTGAATTTAGCAGCTGGAGATATGGTGCACTGAGCGCTCTAATCACGCCGGTGTGATTGTATTAAATATAGAATATTTAATACAATCAATATGTGCTCTGTTGCTGTGAAATTATATGTAGGGACAATACAAACTTTAGAGTCACAGATTTCATCTGACCAGCATTTATCCAATTTTTTTTAGACTCTTTTTACAAATTTTGATAAGGATTTTTTTTAACTACAGCTATAAACAGTTACAATATCTGATCATAATACCGTTCCATAATAATACAGATATTTTTACTATTTCTCGACAAAGGATTTTAGAACTTTATGATCCGATATTTAGCCATGCTGTGAAAAGCTCGATAGTTAATGTAATAAACAGCTCTCTGGGCAAAATGTGGTAGAATTGACCATAACTAAGACAATAACCCTTTTTTTCTTCTTTTTTTTCTCAAATCTGCTGGCTCTTGAGAGACTGCCGTGCATTAACTGGTCATGCCAGTAGGGGGAGTGATTGCGAAAGGTTTTGGAGAATTGATCAACAATACTGCTAAGTAAGCTGCTATAAATGAAAGAATGAGTTTTTAAAATTGGGATCACATGCCTTTCTCAAGAATAAAGAGAATAAACGGACAGACATCTGACTCTCAGGCCTTTTCTCAAACCTGCAGTCATTACTGAAGCACCTGCAGTATAGACTAACACTCCTAAACCACATCAAAATACGCCTGACTTATGCCTGTTTATTCCCTGCTAGTTTATCATCAACAGTGTTGGGGAAAGTTACTTAAGTAATGCATTACAATATTGCGTTACTTCATAAAAAAGTAACTAATTACGGTACTTAGTTACTTTTTATGGAAAGTAATGCGTTACATTACTTTTGCGTTACTTTTAAAATCTGGACAGGGCTTGCTTGCTTGTTTTTAAATTAAAAAAGTTATATTTTTGGCAAATATAAAAGCCTTTTCACACCAGAAGTGAAATGAATGCGCCTCAGGCTGAAGGGAAAGTACAGTAGAATGCAGAAGAAGAAATATCAACACACTTCAGCAATAAACAAAGACACACAAGTGTTTGTCTAGAGTAATTTGTGTTTATTAGTACGGCTGAACTGAATCATCGAAGCTCAGAAGCAAACAGAATGGGATTAAACGCATATTTAATTTTTGCAGGTTTGCGTCATATTCTGAGTGGCATTATTTTTATTCATTTTGAGGAATACTGAATCTGTGTTGTGTGTGAGTGAGATGAATTAATGCATATTCATATTTATTATAGAACTACAGTAACATCTGATGTCTCTCAACATGAGGACAGGAGAGCTGTCAATCAATACATTGGTTTAAAAAAAAGTAACTTGCGTTACTTATTTGAAAAAGTAACTCAGATATTCTCTTGTAAATTAAAAAGTAATGCGTTACTTTACTAGTTACTTGAAAAAAGTAATCTGATTACGTAACTCGCGTTACTTATAATGAGTCACCCCCAACACTGATCACCAATATGACCATGCCATAAAAACACCACCTATATCTGCACCCTTCACTGTAATTTACAGTAGTAGTATCTTACGGAAAACTAACACAGATTTAACTAAAAACAACAACAACAGGTTTTGATACAGTCCTGCTTATATAGTCTACATTTTTATGCATACTTTGAATGCAAGTGTTTCTTTTGCAATCAATGCACGCCAACAAATTGCGTATCTTATTTACGCGAAAATTGCGTATCATATGCACGCCAAACACATGCGTATCATATGCACGCCAAAGCCAATTTCTGCGTGTAATAGCATGCCACATAGAAACAGAAAATCGTGCTATTGGTTTGCATTTTCATTGGAGAACCATCACGAATTGCTGTATAGTTCCTAAAAGATCAACATTTCTTGCAGTTTTATGTTATGTAGTTACTTGAGGTCAGTGTTTTTAAGAGTACAGCCCCTCTTTCTGACTGCATGCACCAGTGTTTGGGTTGGTATTTGCAGCCTGAAGAGTTTTTCCACAGGTGTAAATTACAGAGCCTGATAAGATGTCACCTGAGTCAAATGGACTTTTACTTTGCCAATCCAACCTGCTTAAAAATAAGGCACAGCTGCTGTATCAGTTTATAAAAGTTCATGAGGTCTAAGTCAGTAGAGAAACAATCTGGGGGGAAAATACTGGTGATTTTATGCTCCTAATATAATGCTTAGTGACTGAGAGACACTTCAAATGACTCAAAAGCACAATAAACAGATAATTCTTGTACCACACACAGACTAATACATCTTTACTTTTCATAATCTCATGAGAATTTTTGTTTGTAAAAACTTACCTAGCTTCAATAGTGCCAGATAATATCATTATTTTGACGTTATTTTTTACACAATTTTGTTTTTGTGTGTGGGCTCTGTGAAAGCTCAGATATAGAACATGAATAAAAACAATGAATATTCACATAGTGTGCATTTGCAACTTATTTGGATTTGTTATGAGTGTTTGACCCCAAATAAAGCAGCACTATTTTACTGGATCACAGCCACATTTCTGAATACTGCATGTCTACCCAACACATTACATGTTGGTCTACCTGCCGGGTGATACAAGAGAGGGTTAAAGGGTAACACTATACAATACAATCTCATTAGTTAACTTTAGTTAATGCATTACCTAACATTAACTAACAATGGACAATACATTTGTTACAGTATGTATTAAGTTTTCTTAATGCAAGTTAATAGCAGTACAGCTGTTCATTGTTAGTTCATGTTAGCACAGGTCCATTAAATAGTATTAACAGATATACTTTTTAATTTTCATAATACATTAGTAAATGTTGAAATTACCAGTGACTAAGATTAATAAAAGCTGATATAAGATTAATATTCATCGTTAGTTCATGTTTGGTGATTTAGTAATGTTAATGTTAAATGGAAACTTATTGTAAAGTGTTAACGTGAGTTACAGTCAGATTACTTTTTTCAAGTAACTAGTAAAGTAACGCATTACTTTTCCAAATAAGTAACAGCAGTTACTTTGTTTCCATGTATTGAGTGACAGCTCTCGTGTTGCCATGGTGACAGAAATCAGGAGTAAGTGCGGAGCGTTGTGTGAGAACATGATCTTACTGTAGTTCTAGACTAAATATGAACATGTATTTACTCATGTCACTTGGATAAAAACAGATTCAGTATTTTTCGAAAGCAATAAAACAGTAAAAATGCAAACTCAAAATATGCAATATTTAATTAAATCAAACCAGCAATAATTAAAAAGCAATATTTATTTATGTTAAATAACACAAATATTCTTTATGAATTTAATCCCATTTTATTAACCAATGTCTTTGCTACTGACCTTGATCCAACTGATCCAATTCAACCATGCAAAGAAGCAGAAATGACTTTAGATAAACATAACATTTGTGGGGGTTTTGTGTGTGTGTGTGTGTTTGTTTGTTTTTATTGCTGATCGAAGAGTGTTGAGCTTTCTTTACTTCAGCCTGATGCTCATTCATTTCACTTTTGGTGTTAAGGGGCTTTTACGTTTGCCAAAAATAGAACTTTTTTATATAAAAAAACAAACAATCAAGCCCTGCCCAGATTTAAAAAGTAACGCAAAAGTGACAATGCATTATTTTCTATAAAAAGTAACTAAGTAACGTAACTAGTTACTTTTTTAGGGAGTAACACGGTATTGTAATGCATTACTTTTAAAAGTAACTTTCCCCAACACTGGTTAATGGTTAAAGTTGAAATAATATATAATTATAGAACAGACAGTCTCAACAAATCACATTTTTGAATATACGTTTGTCTATAGTGTTATCATGGACGACAGCTCTAATTTACAGTTTGGGTTAATTGTTATCCATCTGCCGATTATGCAAATACAGCCGTGTTTGTCAGTGATTTATGGAGAAGGAATAAGTGATAACCTCAGGAAGTTCATGTGTTCAGGAGTTCATCTGTTTCTTGACAACATGAAGTAAATCAGTAGCTTTTTCTTTTGAGCTCATTCATAGAGCATCACTTGTTTGTTTTTAATGTAATTAATATTCTCTGTCTGTAAAACATTCAAAATACAAAGATTAATTTTTAAAAAGTACACACTTATTATACTGACTATGTAATTGTCTGCACATAACTATTTTACCAATATATGCACTATAGTGGCCTAAGAGATTTGGACATAAATCTGAAGTGTTGCAAGTCAGCAGTTCATTGATTTAATGTCATTTATTTTTACATTTTCAAGTAATTTTAAAGTTTTTGAGTTTCTAACCACATTAAATTCTACATTAATGCAGATATTGGATGCTTTAGTTAAAGCATTTGATTTTTGGCCATGCAAAGTTGCTACACATTCAATGCTTATCTCTAAAAAGCCGTGATTGTTGTAATATACAGTGCTATGATGTTATAAAGTCTGTGTTCTCTCTCGGTGTTCACAGGCAGTAAAGAGGCTGCGTTCACGTACGCCATCATCGCAGCAGGAGTGACTCATGCCATCACAGCCGCCTGCACGCAGGGAAACCTCAGCGACTGCAGCTGCGACAAAGAGAAGCAGGGCTTCCACGGTCACGCCGACGGCTGGAAATGGGGCGGCTGCTCGGCAGACATCCACCACGGCCTGGGCTTCTCCAAAGTCTTTATGGACGCCAGAGAGATCAAACACAGCGCCAGGACGCTTATGAATCTACATAACAACGAAGTAGGGCGAAAGGTGTGTATTTGGTTATTCAAGCAGAGGCTTGGCTTTGTATGTCTCTTGTAAATAAAAACTGTCAGACATGATTCAGTTTTGAGGGCTTCGATTTTACGAGGTGGCGATTTTGGGTCAATTCGTAGGATTCACAATTTTTAGAAAAACAGTAAGCATGAAAGTCCACCCCTAATCCCACATTTAAACATAATGACTTAAATGAATTAGCCACCAATTCACCAAAACATGAAAAATTTACAAACTGCCATATTGGCTGACCCAAAAATGAAAAATGTACTCACTCTTGTCTTGTATGACTTACTTTCTTCTGTGAAACACATGTTCATGCTGTTCTTTTACATGCAAAAAAAGCATGCAGTGACTAGTGACCAAAAAGCAAAAAAACTATTTGCCTGCTTATACTATGCCCTGAGAGTATGTACTGTTTTGGTGAAGAAAAAGTACATACTTTTAAGTGTGTATGTCCCAAAGTAGGCAAGCTTTGGGACATACAGTGGTGGCCAGAATTGTTAGAACACTTGGCATATTTAAGTGGTTTCAGTTGTTTTTGTTGAACTGGCCATTACAATACCCATAAAACGAAGTATTCGCGGATCTACCTGCGATGGAAGGAATCTGCTGCAACATTGAAAATGATGGACTGGCTCCTCAAAGTCCCCATTGAGCAAATTTGGAGCGAGTTGGAAAATGAACTGGACTGATCTATTGTACATTCAAAGGAAAGCCTTTGGCTTGAGCTGCAGAAGGCATGGGATAACATTAGTGTTGTAGTTCTCAGGAAATTTATTGGCACAATGCCAGAGAGATGTGCTGCTGTAATTGCTGCAAAAGGTGGACATACAAAATATTAAAGTTAAAAGTGGATAAAAACGGTACACACTTCATCTGATATACAGTATGTTGTGCTCAGAGCAACCATCTGCATGTTTCATGAACATTATAAAATGAAATAATGTTTTGGAGGCAAAAAAAAGTCAATTCAGATCTGTCAGCTGTTCTAACAATTTTGGCCACCACTGTACTATCATGTCACACAATTGCAATAGTTACCTGTAACCTGGCCTGTCAATCATCTTGTCACAGTTAACATCCACATTTAATTTCATTTAACTTTACTGTATTGGAGAGAAAAGAAGTAGCACGTTGATTTGCCAAAGGCAGAGAACTCCGCTCACATTAATGCATAATGATGCATTTGAAAGGTACTGGCCAAACGGATGTTTATAAAAGTTCACATTGTTGTTGCAGATGAAATATAACACGGATAACATTAAATACCAGGCTTTTAACAGGTCAAATATGGATTATTAGTAACTCAAACGCCTTTATCTAAACCTAACTACTTAATCAGTCGCGAACATCTGCCATGTTTGTAGTTTTTAAACACTTTTTATTCATGTTTGTAGTTCTGAACTGAATCCTTTGCCAAAGAGCAATGGGTTGTGGGCAATATTATCTGTTACAATTTGCACAGATGCACACTTTGAAAATCTACCGGAAATAGGGTATATTCTTTTCAACATGCTACGCTTTTTATTCTAATCTCACATGCTATTTAGGATGGATAGTATGCACACTGAGACGCAGGGACAGTTATTTTTACAGCTGAACTTATTGCGGCTTATAGACCAATTTTGGTGTTTGCAAACAGTAATGATGGTTTTTGTGGGCAGAGCCTACCTGGTGGCAGAAAATGACAGTGTGTACATAATATATATAACATATATATATAGCAAACTCGTACTTCTATGAGTAATAGTTATAAGTGTTCAAGTAGCAGTCTATGGAAGCCATGGAATTAAAGAATAAAAAAGGTACATATGAGTTTATATTTCAAAATCATAGCTTTATTCTCGCAATTCCAAGATTATATCTCACAATTCTGATAAGGAAAAATAACTTGTCATTCTCTTTTTTCCCCTCGGCTAAGAATCACAAGTTTATATCCCACAATTCTGGCTTTTTTATTTTTCCTCAGAATTGACAAACTCGCCATTGTTGAGTTAAATCGAGTCCAACCATTTAGGTAAACTGCGTTTAGTTTCAAATGGTGTCTTTGATGAAAGTATTCTAATATAAATGATTTGTATTCCAATTCTGATTCTGACATCATACATTTTTTTCTTTTATTCCATGGATTTGACCCGTTTCCCTCCACTTGTTATCAGTGTTTTTCTGCCTGCAAGTGATGTAACTGTGACGTCTACTCTGAATTGGTCTATTATGCATTTAGGAGTTTCCCTTTCAGGCACAAAATTTATGGCAGGAGAGTATTTAGATGAAGGTGATTTACTAAGGTTTGTGCTAGTCAGTATACTTGAATTTGTGCCACCCAAAAAGCATATCTTAACCCATTTTTTGCCTGTGTTGTTAATAGATTACACACACCTGATTACCATTGGCTCTGCTTATTTGCAACTCTACACTAATTTGCGCAGCTCTTGGTAGATTGTGTTGGTCATTATGAAAATGATCTGTGTCTTTAATTTGGACATTGTCAGTAGATCAGCCGCAGAACTTTCCGGTCTCCTCTGTGCTTTTATGGGATTGTGGCTAATGCTAATTTGCCCTGTTTAGTAACTCTGGCCCTTAAGTTGTTATTCACTGAAATCTTCCCATCCGCTGCAGTTCAAATCTCACTGTTTGTGCATATTCGAGCTTGGTGTGTCATGTGCAGCTATGAGACACGTGACGTTTGGCCGTGCCTCGTCGTGTTAAGTCTGAAGATGAGCATGTGGGTGAGTAAATGACCAAATTTTCATTTTTGGCTGAACTGTTCCTTAAAGAGGTATTATCTATCAGTGAAGTGATGTTTTGGTTACACTGAACGGATCAAGTGAAAGTCAAGTGCAGGGAAGGAGTCTGTAACTATGGCACTGCGGTTTGCAGCCGGCCCCGAAGCCAAGACTCGACTGGCACAGCAATAATAGGAAGCTTTTAGGGGTAAGAGCAGAATAAGTGCTAGAGTTTGATTACAAATCAGATGAGCTCCAACACACCGAGCTCTGTGCAAATCCACTCCCATTTTCTGCTCAGTTTAATAGACATTGGCCTACACCAGTATCCCCTATCGCTAGTTTTGATGCGGTGTTTTTGTCTCAACTTTCAATGCTCAAACCGCCAACGATCCTAAAAGGCTTTTTCACTTTCACCTGCATTTAGAGGCCATGCTTTTTTTCTGCGTATACATTTGTTGTCTTTGATGTGGAACAAGGGATGCGGTCCCTTGGGAAAAAGAAGTGCGCTGAATGTGTACTTGTACTTTGAAAAAAATGATTAATTGAATTTACTAAATTTTTTAAGGTAAGTGGTTGCAATCAGCTTATTTTAGCTACATTTAAATAAACAAATTTAGTTGACTAACTTTCAACATGTTTTTTTTTTAAATGTAGCTAAAATAAATAGTTTGCAACCACTTACCTTAAAAAAAAAAAGTTGTATAATTTTTTTAGTGTAGTGTATCTTAAAATATATATATATATTTTAAAATTGTACTTGCAGAAATAGTAATGAATATTAATGAAATAAAGACCTTTACACTTTCATGAGTTTTTCTTAACATGCTTAAGCGCACTTGTTAAAAAGTCTGCTTTGTCATTTTTTTTTTTAATTAACAGTTTTACTTTAATAATCATTTAATACGTTTTTCTCATGCTTTAACAAAGTACACTTATTTTTGATGTGTTGACTAACATACTAAAGCACATGGAAAGTACTTGAGTATAATTTGTATAGTTGACCAATCACAGCACACCTTGCTTTTCAGACCGATGAGCTTTGTAAAAATCGACGCGTTTCAGAAAGGCGGGGCATAGAGGAGAAACAATAATGTACAGTATGTGGAAAATTTGTTTTTTTAACCTTAAACTGCATAAACACATTACATTACACCAAATACACAAAATAATGTTCTTTTTAGCAACATCATATGACCCCTTTAAGTTGCATGCACTGTATTTCAAGTCTTCTGAAGCTTCTCAGAAGTTTCTTGAAAGTCTCATGAGCAAACACCATTAACGTCAAAGCTGTCAAATACAATTTGACAGAAGTTTAATTTGATAATTTTTAGATGACCTGTTCTTTTAACTAGGGCATGTGTGAAGTAAGAGCCAACCGGTCTATCAGCCAAACAGAGAGCAGAATAATCACTCTTGCTCTCCCAGTCGAGTTTAATGAGGGGTGAAGAGCTTCCATCTTATGTCTGGCTTGTTGCACGTTTGGTCACAGAGAGCTGATTCATGGCACCAACTCTTCTCCTCAGTCCCCACTCCGATTGTACCGTCTTATCTGAGCAGCTAAATGGCCTCTTAGTGAACTGACTAGCCTTACAGGATGATTCTAGCTGCAGGTTTTGTCTTGAGCAAACTAAAAGAGTGCTCTGTTTGAACGTTCCCCTCCCAGCTAATGTAATGCCGCTGGCTCACGGTGCCCATCTCTGAAGAGCAGATCGCAGAAGGTCTGGTGTGAGTCGCTGAGCTGATGTACGATACGTCGGGCCATTTTGATTGGCGTTAGTAGTGTAACGTGTTCAGAATGTTGTTGTGTTGTGGAAAACAATGTGTTTAATGTTAATTTTGCACTTTATTCCTTTTTGCTTTTGGAACTGTTATTGGATGTTCAAGTGTATAGGGAAAGAGGCTCGTGTAAGGGGAAACTGAAAGAAGGGGGTCAGAAGAGTGCCTCGCTGGTACAAGTGCGGTTCTCTCTCAAGTCGGGGTGTGTACGGCGTGGGTTGTGGCCGACAGCAGCCCAAATAAACACCCCTTTTGCATCAAAAACGCCTCGTCCTTGTCTGAGAACGCTACAGTATGTTGTTGGGGAAAATAACATTGTGTGCAATGACAATACAGTTATTGTGCAGTTATTGTATTGTTTGTTGAATGTGATGACATGAGCAGATACTCCAGATATCAGTTTGCTAAGTCAAGCCTCATTTTTGTTGTCGCTTATACAGGATTCGTGATATTAAACCAAGAAACAAGTAATATTACATATTAAACAAAGTAACTTGCCATGTGCTATTGGCATGAAAGGGTATTAGTGTATATTTTTTTTAATCAATAAAATGGTCAAAAAATATTTAGACATTAAAGAAAGAACCCAAGGCATTTCTAGAGACCAGAAAACCAGAGGCTGGTTTAGCAGCAATCTAGCCCTAACAACCGTCCAGAAAACACTAACAAACGTGTTGAATGTTGGACACTTCATGCAGTTTTTCTTACTTAGCCCTAGCAACTACATGGTAAAAGTGGTGAAAAATAATTTGAACACTACCAGATAAAACCCTCGAAAACCACCACCAACAGCTCTGTGATTGCATGTTTTTTGTAAAACTGATGGTGTACCAACAGCTTCATGTTTGCATAATATTGAGGATTTGTCACCTGCATGAAGGCTGGCATACACTACATGACTTTTCGAATCTGAACAGACTTTTAATTAAACAGTAGGCATCATATACTTACTGACTTGTGAATGGTTACAGAGAAAAGACTGGGGATCATACACACAAATGACTGAGGATCACACACTACCAGACATTCAAGTCGTTCCCAACGCTACAAGCTTACATAGAAACATATGCATTGATGCATGATAGATGAAAACAGCTTGTGTTCTGCAATCAGCTCAAAATATAAAACATTTCTGATATCCTCTGACTCAATTCAGTCTGAGACAAAAAAAATTGTTACATTTAGACATTCTTCTGACCCTAACTACAGGTCAACTAATTCTCATTAATTTGCAAATACTGTACAGGTCAACTAACTCTCATTAGAGTATTAGCAGACTGTAGGTTAGCAGATTAGTAGAATAAGTTAACGTATTTGTAAAGCCAACTGAATGCGTGTTGGTGGATCATCAAAATAAAGTGCTAGCAGATGTTAAGCAGACAATCTACTAATACTCTAATTGCTGATAGTTGACATGTACTGTAGATGCAAAGTTATTTAAAGTTAGTAGAATGTCTAATGTGAACTATCAAAATAAAGTGAAAATTGGTGTCTTGTGCCCGTTATAGACTACGCAACTTTCTGTGAAATTGGTCAATTCTGAATGATTAAAATCTGTATAATGTAAATTGGTCCAAAGTCATATACTGTAGTGTAATCCAAGTCAAGTCAAGTCACCTTTATTTATATAGCGCTTTTAACAATACAGATTGTGTCAAAGCAACGGAACAGCATTAATTAGGAAAATAGTGTCAATAATGCAAAGTGACAATAGTAAACACTCATTTTTCAGTTAAAGATAGTTCATCATTGAATTCAGTGATGTCAACATCCAGTTCAGTTTAAATAATATCTTTGCAATTATGTCAACGATAACGCTGGAAATGAAGTGTCCCCAACTAAGCAAGCCAGAGGCGACAGCGGCAAGGAACCAAAACTCCATCGGTGACAGAATGGAGAAAAAACCTTGGGAGAAACCAGGCTCAGTCGGGGGGCCAGTTCTCCTCTGACCAGACGAACCAGCAGTACGGAAAAATCAATATAAGACGTAATAAAACAGATGATGAACAATATTAACAGCAGTTATTATATGATGCAATCAAACTTATAGCAAAATGTGGTAGTTCTGTAAGTTGTTTCAGGGTTGGCATCATCTGAGGTCCTCTGAGGGGTTGCATCATCTCTTCTCAGGTGTTCTGGATCCAGACTGAAGCTTGTGTAAATCCTAGTTACGCAAAAAACAGAGAAACAAATACAAACATAATTAACGCTACGCAGCTGCTGTTCCAACCAAGCAAAATTGATTTGTTTAACCCAACCGCCAGCTTGAATGGTTTTGGGACATGACCTAAAGACAATGACAAGTTAATAATATTGAGAAGCGGTTCTTCTGCTACAGGTTCTTCTAATCCAGCCTTAAGTTCAAAGCAAACCGACTGAATTTTAAGCAACACATCAGCATGAAATGACATTCTAAGCACATTGATTTCTTCTCAAAGAAGTACAGTTTTGATGCAGGTGTATATGTGAGTGTGTTACAGTCAGTGTTGGGGAGTTACTAGTTACATGTAACAGAATCACGTAATTTAATTACAAAATAACTGTTACAGTTACTGAGAAAAAATGTGTAGTAAATGTGGATGATTACTAAGGAGGTTACATCTGAATATTTTCATACACATAGAGATATGATTGATTTATTTCCCAAATTGCATGTTTTTCAGGACTAACTCTAACCCTAACCCTGATCTGTGTTTATTGCTACTGTAAGGTTAACCCCACCTGCTTTAAATGTTTCAAAATGATTAACAGTTTAGAAAAATTTAGAAAAAATATATACATTTAAATTTAGAAAAGTAACAAAAAAGTAATAAAATGTAATCAGTTACACCAAATAACTGATATATAGTTGCACTACTTATTACATTCTAAATAGGGTAACTTGTAATCTGTAACCTATTACATTTCCAAAGTAACCGTCTGTAACACTTTATTTTAAGGTGTCCTTGTTACACATGTTACATGTACTTACTATTATAATAACAATTAATTATGCATAACTACATGCAAGTAACCCTAACCATATAGTAAGTACATGTAGTTAATTAATATTACCCAGTACCTAAATGTATAATTAAACTGTAACAAGGACACCTTAACCTTCCCACACTCTCAGAAAAAAAGGTACAACAGTTGTCACTGGGGCGGTACCTTTTCAAAAGGTACACTTTTGTACGTTTTAGGTACTAATATGTATACTTTAGGTACTAATATGTACCTTTAAGGTACCAATATGGACTCTTTAGGTACAAAGGTGTGCCTTTTGAAAAGGTACCGCCCCAGTGACAGCTTTTGTACCTTTTTTTCTGAGAGTGTAACACTGTTTACAACATGTGGTGTGTTCATTGTCAGTAATGAGACATTCGATTGATGGAAGCACTGATGTTTCATATTCCTGCTGCTGTGCTGGTCTCAGGTCCTGGAGAGGAGCATGCGGCTGGAGTGTAAATGCCACGGTGTGTCTGGATCCTGCACCACCAGAACCTGCTGGATGACCCTCCCCAAGTTTCGCGAACTCGGCTACATCCTCAAAGACAAATACAGCCACGCCGTCCACGTGGAGCCGGTCAAAGCCACGCGCCACAAGCGGCCCACTTTCCTCAAGATCAAAAAGCCCTACTCGTACCGCAAGCCCATGGACACGGATCTGGTGTACATCGAGAAATCGCCCAGCTACTGCGAGGCGGACCCCGTGACAGGCAGCGTGGGCACTCAGGGCCGGGTGTGCAATAAGACACTGATGCACCATCCCAACGGCTGTGAGCTGATGTGCTGCGGCCGCGGATACAACACACACCAGTATTCACGCGTCTGGCAGTGCCACTGCAAGTTCTTCTGGTGCTGCTACGTCAAATGCAACACTTGCAGCGAGAGGACAGAGGTGTACACATGCAAATGAGCGATGCTTATGCTTTTTGAGAGGGCCTTTCATCCTGACATTACTGTAAAAGATGACTTAATCAGGTGGCATTTGTTCTTTTGCACAAGACCTTACTTCAGACTCACTCTAATGGAAAATCGTCAAGATTGTCAAAGCTTTACTCTGGAGAAAGAATTGCATGAGAAGGAACGTGGAACTAAAAGTGTAAATGACTGTACCTTTGATGCTACACAGCTTTCCTCGCTTTCTTCCATAAATCCTGAAGCTGTCTGGACTAAAAGAAAGCTCTCTGTAAAACCCATAACAACGACCTGCACCTTGATTGTACCAATGGAGCTACTGAGACATGGACGTCTTGCAGGCATGCAGCGAAATGTACAGAGACATTGACAAATAGAGCAAAACAGCAGGGTTCCAGAAGTAGAGGAGAGGACTTTCTTTTATGTTTTTGCTACAAATCAACCCAGGTGAAAAAAAAGTATACTAAATTGCTGTATTTTCACACACTAATTTTGGACTTAATATTCGGTTACACTTTATTTTAAGGTATCCTTGTTACTTAGTAACATTAATTACCTACATGTACTTACTATATGGTTAGGGTTAGGATTAAGGTTTGGCTTAGGGTTACTTGCATGTTATTATGCATAATTTATTGTTATTATAATAGTAAGTACATGTAACGTGGGTAACAAGGACACCTTAAAATAAAGTGTTACCAATTATTCTTTAGCACTAATCTTAAGATCATCTCAACGGTGCTATTTTGGGACACCATGAATATGAACTAAAATGTGCTTTTAACATAATTTCTCTGTAAAAAATTTTTTATTTAGATACCACTTGTAGTACACTTGAGTGTACTAGTGTATGAAAGATGGTGTCCCAAGATAGCATAGTTGAGTACACTTAGATGCTCTTAAGATTATCTTAAGAAGTACTAAAAAATAATTTTTAGTATGTTAAGTACAAAATTAGTGTGTCAAAATAAGTGCACTTTTTATTTTCTCCTGGGAAAGTTTGTAATGATTAATCTTCAAACTGGTTGGTTCAATTCACGACTTTAATTGCCTTATTTAAGTTTTTTTATTTTATTTTTTAAGTAAATTCCTATAGAGAAAATGAATGGGAAAAGTACTTCTGGAACCAAGGTTGCTGATCGCTGTTGTGCTCTGTTGTTAAATTCCTCCAAACAACTGATTTTATTTATTTATTAAAAACAATGTTGTTAACTGTAATTAATGAGACACTGGAAAGAAATAGTGGATCTGCATCTCTGTTCATGAATACACTGAGATTTGTATCTTTTGAAAGAATAGTTATAGTTTTAGTTTACAAGACAAGAAGCAATATTTTTTTTCCTATGAGAAATTTCCTGTGTGCTGCTAGTCTGGAATAATCACATTCGCTGTAATATTACGAAACTACTGACCACAAGCTTTTTGTAACTGGTATAGTGATGAATCCAGATGTAGAATTTACACTGTAATTGTAAAATATCGGTAAGAGAGTATATTTTGTAAAATAATATTTTTATATGAATGTTTTATTTATACTTTGTCATTTCTGAACACCCAATGCATTCCGTTTGCATTATGCAATAACTTTAATTTGTGGGTGACAAAGTTGGAATGTGGATGTTAATTATTAAAATAAAATTTAGATCTCATGCAAGCATGGTTATGTTGTTATAGTATAGTGTTTGCTAGTGGAAAGCAACACTGTTACTAGTGCTCTTACTTAGGTTTAGTGGTTTGAACAAAGTGATGCTAGGCACAAAAAAAGGTCAAAAAATGGGATCTGAATGGGCTGAATAAACATTACACAACAGCGATGCTCCACGTGTAATTGATGAGCGCAGTGAGTGTTATGGTGATGACTTGCTCAAGGGGGCGGAGCTGGAGCTGTCAGGTGATTGATGACTTTGACATTTCTTTCATTCAGACCTTTGCCACTCGTTGCTAAACAACTCCATTGACTGCTGCGAAATATCCACCAGATCGCCTTACACATGATGATAGCATTCAGATAGCTTTCTCAAAAACATTATTAACACACGGAAAGATAAGAGATAGATAGATAGATAGATAGATAGATAGATAGATAGATAGATAGATAGATAGAGTTACATTGGACAAACCATATGCACTTGCTTAAGTGTTTTAGCAAACATGTTAATTTTCAACACCAGTCCACGGGAGGCTTTTCAGAAAGCAAAAAAAAAACAAAGTAAATTAATAAAATAAAACCAATAACAATACTAATAATAATAATAACAATGTTAACAATAAAAGTAATAATAACAATACTAATAAAGAAAAAGGGAAAAAGAAAAAAATATATACCATAAAGTTACAGAAAAGAAGGAACAATACATCCAAAATTATTACATAAGCTATAAAGCAAAGACAACATAATCAGACAATATCGCAATAATAATTTGGTATGAAGAACTATTCATGTGAGCACTGTTGTTTGGTTTTTAACCATTGTTTAAGTCCTCTGTTAAAAGCATTACCATTGGTCTCTAGTTTTAAATTAGTTGGTAAAGCATTCCAGAGTTTTGGCCCCTTTGCAGAGAAAGCAGATTGGCCAAAGGAGGTCTTATACTTTGGAACAAGACAGTCACCACTAATAGTGGCTCGTGTGTTTGCCCTATGAGAGTTCTGACGCCTACTGACCAATTCAGAAAACAGTGGTGAAACATGATTCTTTAGACACTTAAAAACCAATCTGAGATAATTAAAATCAACAAAACTATCGAAGCTAAGAAGGTTATGCTTTCTTAAAACATCACAGTGATGCCATCTCATGGGTTTCTGGTCCATAACTTTTATTGCCTGTTTGTATATTGAAATAATAGGCTTTAATTTATTTGGAGAGACTTGTGACCATGATGTGACACAATATGATAAATGTGAAAATATCATTGCATGCATATATAATTTTGCAGTTTGACATGACAAGTCCCTTCTAATAACACGAAAACAATTTAGGTTTGGTTTGACCTTCTTACAGATGTACTCAATGTGACTATCAAATTTTAAATTCTTATCTAGAATAATCCCAAGATACTTGACTTCATTCACTGCTTCAGTTACTTAATTTTTAATCTGCACCTCAAATACATCCCTTGCAGGCCTATTTCGTATGGAGAAGCACATGGAAACAGTTTTTTTAACATTAAGAGTTAAATGAGACAACTCAAGCCATTTATGGCGCTTTTCCACTGTGTGGTACGACTCGGCTCGGTACGGCTCAGTACGGCTCGGTTCGGCTCGGTTTGCGTTTCCACTGCAGGTCAGTACCGCTTTAGAGTGGGCGGGATTATTCACATGTCATTATAGTTTTAGGAGTCGCTCTACTGCCGCGACTCCTAAAAAACTTTTTCATTCCATGTCGCCCCATCAAGCTTTCGCTGGATCCGCTCCTCTGCTATCAACGAGAGGAACGTCTGTTCTTCCTCAACAGGGGGAACAGCCACTTTTTGGTTGCTAAAAAAGGTGCGCTCATTCAAAACAGTTGCGTTCGATGCTTCGCTGGCTGTGCTGATTTAAATCTAGCACTTCTTTTGTGTTTGTGTCGCAAATTCAGTGACGCAGGTAGTGACGTTTCTCTCCGGCCAATCTGTGATCAGCAGAGTTTACACGTCACGTTTTGGTAACGGTACGGTTCGCTTGGAACCTCAACTGAGGTGGTACTAAAAAAAGTACCAGGCACCAGGTACTGTACCCAGTGGAAAACCCCCCAAAAGTGAACCATACCGAGCCGTACCGTGCCTTACCATGCAGTGGAAAAGCGCCATTAGAGATGTTATGTAATGCCTGTGTTAGGTGCTCACCTGCCAGGCTAGGTGTTGTAGTGGACACATGGACGACAGTGTCATCAGCATACATCTGGCAGCCGACACCCGGACAGCAATTTGGTAAGTAATTTATGTACATTGTAAACAACAGAGGGCCAAGTACAGAACCTTGCGGTACTCCTATGTTGTTTGTCTGCAGAGGTGACTTAACCCCATTGACCCTGACACACTGCTGTCTTCCACTCAAATAGGACCTAAACCACTGAATGGCGTCTGATGACAATTTTAATTGATTTAATTGATTTATTAAAATGCTGTGATTAACAGTGTCAAAGGCCTTTTTTAGGTCCAAGAACACTGCCCCGACAACATTCCCTTTATCCAATGAGGCTTTTATTTTTTTCAAGCAAATAGCAGTTAGCAGTTTCAGTGGAATATTTGTCTCTAAATCCAAACTGCTGTCGATAAAGCAACTGGTTAGACTCTAAATGTTCCACTAATTGCTCGGCAACAATCTTCTCCAGAACTTTTGAAACTACAGGAAGGATAGCAATAGGCCTATAATTACTTGCTATATCCTTATCTCCCGATTTATAGACCGGCGTAATTATTGCTGTTTTCCAGCTCTCTGGGAATAATTTTGTTTGTATTGACAAATTTACTAAATAAGTAATTGGCTCCAACAGACAGATTTCATATCTCTTAATTAATACAGCATGAATGTTATGAATGTCCTTAGACTTGGAGTTACTCATGTTTGTGATCACCATTTTAACTTTATCACGAGATACCTCTTTAATATAAAAGGAGCCTGTATACTCTTAAAAATAAAGGTGCATTTATGATGCCATAGAAGAACCTTTTTGTCTAAATGGTTCCATAAAGAACCTTTAACATCTGAAGAACCTTTCTGTTTCACAAAAGGTTCTTTGTGGCGAAATAAGGTTCTTCAGATTACAAAAAGGTAAGAAAGAGATGGTTCTTTAAAGAACCTTTGACTGAATGGTTCTTTGTGGAACCAAAAATGGTTCTTCTATGGCATCGCTTGAAGAACCTTTTGAAGCACCTTTATTTTTAAGAGTGTATGAGCATTGTCAAATTCGTCAAGAGATGACTCGATATATTTAAAATTGCTTGCTAATTCTTGTACAGACTCAATAAAAAAACTATTAAAAACATTTGCAATAGCCTCATTTCTATGAATCAGATTATTACAAACTTTAAGACAATTTATTTTTAAATGTTTTTGTCTGCTTGAATTGGTTAATCTATTTATATGTTGCCACAATTTAGAACTGCTGCCATTGGCCTCTTCAGTTAATTTGGAAAAATAATTTGTTTTAGCCTTTCGCAGCTCTGATACTACTTTGTTCCTCAAACCAGTAAAAATAAGATGGTCAGTATTAGTTTTTGCTATTAAGGACCTTTTAAGAGCAAGATCTCGCCTTTTAATGATCTGAAGGATGTCACTGTTAAACCATGGAAGAGAGAATTTCTTAGGCCTACTTTTCCAGGTTTTTGTATGTTTACTTATTAATTCACTTAAAATAAAAGCGAAATTGCTTGCACTGTGGTTTAAGTCTGATTCTTTAATGACCTCTTCCCAATTAACTTTCTTCAAATCATGTTCAAAGCTGGCTATTTTTGACTTGGGAACTC